GTTTTTCGCCGGAAGATTTATAAGAGATGGGGATAGAGAAACTATGCTGATCACAAAGCGAACAAAAAATGCCGAAAATTACATATCTAATGTACGGATGACCCAAGGAACCAAATGGGGTTAGTTAATATGAAATCAGAGTAGCTAGCAAGAAAAGCCATAAATCATGTTTTATTCGTTATTTGAACCCAGAAAAATTAAGGACAATTCAACATGTCAGAGAGCTTTCAAAAGTATCTTTGATTTTAGTTCTCACAAGTTATCAGTAGAACGCTGTATACAGCAGCTCAATGAATACACAGATGAGGGTATTCACGCACCAATGCAGGTGAAAGAACAGTGGAAGCAGATCAAGACGGTAATCTGTGAAGCTGCTTTAAGGGAGCTAGGAGGGCCTGTGTAACGCTTGAAAGACTACAGTTCCGAAAACATTTTCGAAATATCAATCGAACCTAGGGAAACTCGCCAGTTGGAAAGCACTAGACGCTGTAGACCTCGATGAAGGGTCTCACGCTCCTCCAAAACTGATCGTAAGAGGCAATGGCTTGGAGTGGCTGAGAAATCAGAGATCAAATCAAGAACCAGACACTTTAGCAAACTTTCCCGACTAATCCGTAATACTTTAAACCAACACTGCAAGCACGAATCCGTGCTATGCGACGAACCATACCAGTTAATCCCAGGATCGTTTCAGAATACAGCAAGATTGAAAGAATATTTTGACCCACTTTTAGTCGGAGATTTAACAGCATCATTCACAACTCGACCTGATTCATATGACGTCAACTGCGACACACCAAGTCAAACAGAAACCATAAAGATAGTCAATTAGATTAAGCACAGAAAAGCAGCCAGGAAGGACGGTTTCTTATCGCAATTTTTAAAAACGTGCTATTCCCTATTGGTTGGCAAGTTTTCACCCTGTAAGGGGGACGCAATGTGCTTCCCAGTAAGTGGAGTACGTCTATTCTTTTACCCAAAGCCAATAAAAGACGGCATAGCGATTTGCGAGAATCACAAGGGAATCAGTCTGAGAGACGTTGCTACGACGATTTTCCGTGTACTGCTGAACAACCACTTTTCAACCGCGAGGGCTGGTCGCATTCGACCAAAACAAGAGGATTTTCATCATGACAGAGATACAGGTACAAAGCTTGAAGTTCTACAAGCAAGCGATACTTTGCTTCAATGAATTCGTCGATGCTTTTGACTCAGTTTATTGTGAGTTATGGTGGGAATTACTAGACACTGATAATCTGCTTGTGAAACTCACACGTTCCCTCCGGGTATACAATAAACCCACGACGCCATCAGTGCGAAACTATAGTGAGGAATGTGCCGGAATAGCAGTTCGTTTCGGGTCGAGACAGAACTGCCCATTATCACCAGTACAATTCACCTTTAACATCTAAAAGCGGCTTGCGAACAAGCGCGAAAACAGTGTGAACCAGGATGGATTGGAGTATAAGTGAGGAAAAAGTATAGAAAAAATCATAGAGAAGCAGAACACTGTTCTTTTGTTTATTTCACCGTGAACTTCTTGGTTTTTTGTGTTGGAAAGCGGGATTACAACAAACATACCAAAAGACATTCGCGTCACTGACTTTTATTACAAGCAATATCTCTAACCGTCTCTGACCAAGGAAAACTCTTATCCTTGAGACCTCAGCCTAGTGGGCGGGCTACATGAACCGAATACAATGCTAAAGTTAACTTCTGTCAGT